AAAACGCGGCCGCGAACGTGTCGCGCGGAAGAAAACGTCACGTGAACGAAGCGGTGGAAAGAAGGCAATTAATTCCGCGTTCGAAAATGCGTGAAAGCTCGTCGGAAATTGTTTGGAAGTTGAACCAGGCTCATTTCAATAATCCCTGTATCGTTCGATTTATCGTAACTCGGACGTGATTCAATCGGTTCCAATTAATCGCTGCGCTCGATCGATACGAGTATCGGAATTTGATGTTTTCCGACACCGTTGCCGCGCTTATATTATTATTATTATCGTTTCATTATCCTTTTTAATGCTAGGAGTGTCGAACAATCCTCTACAAAAATACATGCTCTGCAAAAAGTACTTATCGAACCGTGTCGAGTTTTCTTTTGTAATAAAAATATAAGCGCGATATATCACCGAAACGTAATTTCGTGTTTGTATGTATAATGTTACAACGAGCGACGATACATTTGTATTCGCACGGAGTACTGTCATAAACGTCGCCAATGCTTAGGTAAGCGAGTATATCTAGAAACGTAGTATCGCAAACGCACTCGATGCATTCCTACCCAAGAATCGTACACGAAATTACGCGATCGCACGCGACTCAACGCGCCAAGTAGTTATCCATGCGCCGTGGTGTTACAAAACAATGCCCCATAGATCGAAATTTTTTGTTTGCCCTCGAGGAAACCATACAAAATCGGTTTGCGTGACGCAGGCTGTCGACCCCAACCATTGCAACGGCGGCGCGGCGGACGTCGTGTGCCGACGAAACTTTTGCAACGTCGCCGATGAACGTTCGAGAAAGACTGATATTCTCGCCTGGAATAAAAATTCCACGGAAAACACGAAATATCTTGTAAAATCGGAGTTTTGTATAATTTTTGGACCGGTACTCTTTCGTTTTGTTCAATTTTTATTTGAACTCGAATGAAAGGTAGGAAGTGAAAAGTAACAATATATGAACTTGCAAAGCCATAGTAATCTTATTCCAGTTTATTAGAGACCCGCTGCATATTGTATTTGTGTTTAATTAAACAAAACGATAAAATCGAACTGAAAAGCGAACTGGAATTATTTTATCGTTAATATTTGAGAATGGTGGACAACACAACTATTACATCCGAATGTTACGATAAAATTGGATAAACGGCACAATCGCAACAAAGAGTAACATCAAGATGAGGATTTTAATGTAAAATAATTCAATTTGCTTTGAATGGACAAACGAATTGGAGGATAATCGATATACATCTGTCTGTGATTTTACAAAAACGTTCTGTTTTTTTTTTTTTTTTTTTGTTTTTTTTTTATATAAACGAACAGCGAAGATGGTAGACATATTTTAGAGGCACGAAGAGATCGTTACGGGTTTGAACGCGTCGTTTAATTTAGGGTTGTTAATTAAAACCCTTGAATCACGTGGAACGATCAAACCTGACCCGTCTGTTTATTCAATCCTGTTTATTTCCCTTAGGAAGTGGTTGTAACCGACGCGAGAGCTTGTTTAGCGTCAACATTTACTTAGAGAAATTACACAGTAATTTCGAATGACTTCTCATATTTCCACACTGTTAGAATTATCATCGTCGCTCTGCTACACTTTGGAATTAATTTCGAAAACTGGGGGCAATGCGAAAGTTCGCGTGTCGATAGCGAGAGACCGTCGAACGTCGACAATGAAAATCACTTTCGCTGAAATCTCTCCAATTTTTATCAAATTATTTCGGACTCGGAAGTGTGCGAAATAAATCGTCCGTTAATGCTTTAAACAGGACTGTTGACTCGTAAACGCGGAGCTTGGCTCCCAAATAGTCGCAGAATGCGAAATAGCGTGCTCGGCTCAGGTGATGAGAACTCGTATATTTCCAGGATAGATGGACCAAAAGTTGTAAATTTATGCTAACACCGCGCCACGCTCGGTTTAATAGATACGTATGCACACATTTTTTGGCGAAGTTGCAAGAGAAGTGTACTCGAGGGTCCTATGCACCGCTTCCCACCCTAACACTAACAACTTAAAGCTCGACCTTTCCGCCTCCCAGCCACGCTTCCTTACGGGATCCACTTTCTCAAAGTACATGCATATAGCTTTCCTGAACCCCAATGCGTCTCTTCAACAGCCATCATGCTCGAGGAGATTCCGACGCTCTGAATTATGCACCAAATTTAATGGAACACGAGCTTCACCCTTGTTGATAATTTACAATTACTCCAAGTCGGTACTCCGACTTGTAATGCTGGAAGCAAGTCTGCGCATTCTTAAAATTTACGAGCTACGTTTTGTATTCGCAGACATTTTTCGATGGAATAAAAATACCGTTCCGATGGAATACGAAGCCAATTCATTTTTCAACAATTCGTAGAGAAAACGACGCCCGTAAGCCACCTAGTACGAGGCTGTTATCGCATTCTCGATGCAGAAAGGATAAAAATGACGCGAGGAGAGCGGAGCGATATTCCTTAACCTTTAACCGGTTCAACCGCGATGTAAAATGCATTCGCGAGCAAGTTGCGGCACGAGTACGTAAAGCGTATTCATGAATGACCCGGTGTCTCGTACGATCGGCCCCGAATATCCCCGGCACAACGTGGTTCGTGGAACCGTGTGTGAATTATAGTTGCGGCCCTATCTTTGAAAAATACACGGCAACTATCACGGTACGCTGTATTTGCGACCGCATTAACGGAACTTCTGTTATCGTCGCCGTGCAGAATCGCGATTATCTAGGCCGCGTATTACGGCTCGCTGGTACTTTCGACGATTCGTATTTCCCGCGCATCCCTGGTAAACGAAACTGCTGAAAAACGGAGAAATTTGAATTGTGAAATTGCTACGAATACGAGGTGTCTGCGCTACGACGCGACCTTTGCAAAATAATATTGGATACACCGGTTTAGCGAACGATAAAAAGGAAACTTTAACGGACAAATTTTTTTAAGCATCTAGGAAATGTATTGACCTGTAGATGCTGATTTTACAGCTGTGCTACTTGAAAATTTCAAATATTTCGGTCGTGCTTCGAAAGGTGTTTTAATCGTGGTGATAAAAACGTGTTAGATTAAATTATTCGCACATGTCACACTTGTTCCGCAAGGGTTAAGAGAACTAACCACCTGAATCAGCACGTTCCATCCAAGTCTGCCGTAGTCGAGTTAAAATCAAGTGGCCGTTCAAGGCTACTAAGAATAAGTAGTTGTATTCGCTCTACCCCTGTCGTGATATCGTGCCATCTATCGTACCTTTACGCAAACTAACGCACGAATCTTCTAAATTGAACAAACGGTATCGGTATAACGTGAAACTCGGTGCTACTTTTTATAGATCTTCTAACTAAATTATCGTAGAAAAGAAATTGTCGTAATCTGTTTAACCGATTCACATGCCAATTACCTTATCGAGCACAAGTCAAATATCGCAGTCGATGTAATTATTTCGAATCGCTTAAACGGAGCTAGCTCCTTTAAAATCAATTTGATCGTGGGAGGTGTCGAGAAGCAATAATTGTTTGATCTCAGGTCGGAAGTGACGTTAACGATGCACAATATCGCGTGGTGAAATTTTGCTCGTAATGTTATTAGCGTGGAATTGACGTAATTAAAATGCAAAGAGCATTTCGCGAGAGTAAATGAGGTACAAATAAATGATTACGAGCGAAAAGGGGTAGAAGGACAGAGAAGAGAATTGCATTCATCATTTGGCCGCCGCTGGCAAATATAAATTCCCGGGCTCGCCAGGAAACTCTGACTAGGTTGAGAAATTAAAAAAAAAAAGAAAACCATATGTCATGAATATTCATATGTTAATGCGGCGTGCGTAATGATGAGAAAGTTGTTCCCTCGCGTTCGCCGTGAAATATACATATAGGCGCCACTTTACGTCCGTTCGGAACGTCCAAGTGCCACTACAAAGCGACGTGTGAGCCCCACGGTTTCGCTTACGAACCGAATATTAAAAAGGTGCCATTGACACGGCATTCTTTGTTCGTTCTCGTGGAACAGAAGTCCTCTTAACCGTGTTTGTCCGCGGTCTAACTAAAGACCGCTATCAATAATTGAGTAATTTTAAATAAAAGATCGAAACGCACGGGTAAAATTGACTACCCCGGTAGTTTTATTCAAACTGTCGATTACGCTATTCGTGTATCGTATCAGGAATGATCCGAGTGCGTTAAAATACAAAATAACCAACCCCTACTGGCTAGTTTGTTCTGCAAATTTCGAACGCTCGCTGCTCACGCGGCATTAAAATAATCCACACAACCCAAATGTTTGCACGCGACCGCGATCGGGCGAAAGCTCACGCGATGCTTCCTTTTTTTCCCAACCTGCTTCGCTGCGACGATTAGCTGGCTTCGTGGCTGACCCGATAGGACGCAATTTGCCGCTGGCAATGTGCTTCTGCTGCGAGCTCGCGTTTCCACTTCCTCGGTAGAGCTTTCCGTCCGGTTCGCGTTAACGTCGCGACGATCGACGTCCGTCGAGCTTCCGGAATCCATGCTCATGCGTTCGCATTAGACGAATTAAAAGAAATCGATCGACCATATCGCGTAACTCTGCAACGCCAAGTTGTTCTAGTTTACCGAAAAAACAATAACGAAATAAGTACTCGTAATGCTTGCGTCGCAAAGATCGATATTTTTCATGCAATGAGATTGGATAGATTTTACGTACGTCGCGAGAGAAGAGGTTACGCGATCAAAGTAGAACCACTTGAAAATTTCTTCACGAAAATATCCTCCTGGCCGTTGGAATTAAATGTTTTTTCCCCGTTACGTCAGTGATAAACAGCATCATTTGAATGACTTCGTGTCAAGGTGAGCATGGTACTTGAAAGCGAGAAAACTCCGAAAAATGTTGCTGCACCATTTTTCAATGCGCACTAGCGTGGGCGGTCGAAATTCTGACGTGATAAAAGTGACGAAGCGAGCAGATTCATACGTATATACAAGCGAAACGAGTTACGAGCACTGTCGCTCATCCCGTTTTGCAAAAACACACTCGCGCGCGCTTCTCATAATTTATAGCTTGAATTTCAAAATAGTGCATCTACATTTTTCAGCCGAGTTTCTCGTGGTTTTTACATGCAGGATCTTTGCGAGAACGCTAAAAATAACACGGAAATGACGTAGGTAACGTTTCCTGACGCTCCAACGCTTGAATGCATACCAACGTTACCAACCTCGACGCGTCCAGTGTTTTGATTGCAGCTGCAATGATAACGGCGTCGGCGGTGCGCCGGTGGTCGGTCACAAGCGTTTCTACGAAAACAATGTTACAAAAAAAAGACGCTCTAAGCGTAGGAATCAATAAAAATTCGTCTACTTAATTTTCAATATACAAAAAAAAATGTATTTCTTCTTTTAGTTTCAATATTCTTTGGAACTGCTACCGAATACTTATCGCCTCACTGCAGGCGTTTCTATACACTTTATAAAACTTAACTTCAATCTAAAGGAACTAGATTTCATCTAGAAAAATTTTACATCATCTGGTCCATTCGAGACTGTTGTAAAGTCAATTTTGCGCAGCACTTGATGCGTCGATTCAATCAATATCGCTAAAATTTTTAAATAAAATAATTTTTCCGAAGGAAATGTCGATATCGGAATGTTACGTTGGGGGTATCGGTGACATTCGGCAGCCAATACTTTCTGCCTCGACCTATCGCAATACAGAGTTTCTGGTTCACGTATTATTATTAATATGTTAGTTCTTTAGGTACTAATTATTATTCTACCGAATTTCTCGTCGAAATTCAAATGGTCCGCTCGAGATAATTCTCAAATTGATTTTGGATTAAGCTTGACTTATTTAAATAAAACAATTGTTGGTCTTGTGGCGCAGCGCAGCGGGGCGCTATACTTAGACGAATCAAACGCGTTAACCGAGCAACCTTACGCTTACATCGCCTAGCCTTAAAGATTTCTACTAAAACGACGTTACTCTTATAAAAATATTTAATCAAAGAAGTAACACTGTATCCTAAATGATAACAAAATGAAATGAAAGCTGTATTCTTGTTCGAAGGAAGGGACGTGTGAAATGAAACACCGGAAACCGCAGAGTCCCAGAGAAGCAGCGACGCGACGATTGTCTCTGGAAGTCTACATCCACCGGGATCTCGCGTCCTCTGCTCAAGTACAATAGATATAATATATTTCATATAATAACGTAAACAAGATAGTGGCTTTTGTACAAATATTCCTTATATAAAAATCATGCTTGCCCGGCCTAAGCGCGTTACAGCGGTTACGCGACCCGATCTTCATCTTCCTCTAGCTACGCGCAGAGTCCGTCCAAAACTAGAGCTAGGACTATTTGAATAATGCCACGGATAGTCGATAGATTAGACGAGTAGTCCCAGCCCTGTCAAATTCGTATCTCAGCTTTCAAACGACTCCGTCGATTGGAAAACGAAAAGCAATCTTACGTAATAACAGATGGACGATGGACAAATGCACAACACATCAACTGAGGGCGATCAACGGATTATCATCGTTGATTCGCAGTTTTCGTATCCTTACATGAAAATATCGTTACGGTGCGTTCGGCTTTGCGTTTCCCACATCTGCTTCCAACTTAGTCGTTATCGCGACAAAACCTAGGTTCGAACGAACGCGATTGAGAGCTCACGAGGAAACGCGTGTCAAGGTACTTTCGATTAGTCATTCCTTAATCTAATGGTTTCGCTGCTTTTATTCTTACTTACTTAATCCTAGTTTCTCTTTTCGGTGACGTAATTCGTTTCTGCTATCGACAACGACGACGACGACGACGACGACGACGACGACGACGACGACGACGACAGTTATCGTCTCGACAAAATTTCTTTCCTACCTATCGGTTTCGTTGGCTCCGACAACATTTTTTCCCTGTTACCTAGTTCAACGTCGAATTCGAATGCATCAAAATTTCGCCACGATTAGAGATCTCACTTATCGGAAACTCGACTGATACCCAACGGAAACGAGATTCAGAGCCTTAAGAAACATCAAACGTTCGTTGGCTCGGTGATCACACCTCGAGAGGATAAAAGCAAATATATACCCTGAATCCAGAAATTGCGCTTCCAGCGGTGGTCGTCGAAAGGCTGTGGCATGGTAACCTTCAACAACTACTCGAAAATAGGATTAATTCAGCCGAAATTATGCAACATCACAAATCTTGACCAATTCTTCTTTCAAATCTTTGTCATCCCTCTTGGAAGAACAAAAAATATCACCCATCAAAGACAGTCGACACATTTCGAGCAGGACTGAAACTACCCGGCGAACTTTCCGTATTCCCGACGAGTAGTCCCAGCCCTAGCTTCGTAATCCACCGTTACGATTGCCCAAACAGCTACGGCCAAAAAAATCTGTAGAACAACTTCCGCTCAGCAGTATCCACCAGATGTTATCTATGATAACCATAGTCGGGGCTGGTGAACACGGTAGCCTTGAGCGTGATAGAGGAGACGTGCGACACAGGACGCACGTGTGACTTGGACTGGCAACTCTTCGGGAATCTGTTGCTTGTACCGTGTTTCCAGAATTTATGAAGCGCGAGGGAGGCTCTGGTGTGATAGGGTCGACAAATGGATCCTCTGGCCAGAGAATCCACGGGACACATTCGACACTTGAGCACCGTTCGAGAGGCCAGTCTACGTCGACACCTCTCCCTGAGCTCGTTCATTCTAATCGTCTCGTTTCCGAGTTTGGTCGCGTCCTCTTGTCCTTTGTCCTGTTCGCTAGCCTCTAAACCGGTCAGGTCGTCCTCCTCGAACTCTTGGTTCCACGTCACCTTTCTCGGCAAGCTTTGCTTCCTCGATCGCCTCTCGTTGGGTTTCCTCTGACCGTCCAAGGCCCAAGGACACTCCCACTCGACAGCGGACCGGTCTTCTTGGAGCACGGCACGATAGCTGTACGTAAAATCACGATTAAGCATGGTAGGGGTAGATGCCAGTGATCCAGCGCTGCAACCGCGACCGCTACGCGATTGGACGACGCGGTCGGCGGACTGGCCCTGGCGACACTCGACGTGACGAGCATTCTCGAGGTCGTCGATGACGCTGTCGTGGTCGTGGTCGTGGCAATGGTCGTGGCCGTCGTCGTGATCACGGCGTATACCGCTCGACCGCCTCTCCTCTTCCAATGTTGGGTACGCCATTGTCGCTGCAGTTGCAGGGGAGTTTACCATCTCGTGGCTGCAACCACCGCGGCACTGTTCCATAAGTTACGTTCGCGTCATTTTTCTGTCGATCAACGACCGCCCGTCGACCATCGTGCGACGGGACGTTTCGAAGAGATAAAGATAGATACAGACAGGGACAGCGCGTGGAACGATAAGGGTAAGAGAGAAACAAGCAAGGACGATGTCCTTCGTCTGTCGTGCGTGTACTTTATTCTGTACGTTTACTTTTATCAGAACCACGCGTGTCCTGTCGACATCGAAAGCAAACAAACGTAAGCGTGCACGCGCGCGAACAGAAAAGAACATCAAACCAAAAAATGACGCTGCAACGTAACAAAAAATTGGCGAGGAGAGAGGAGAGCGGGTGGAATGGTGACGAGTTTCGTTTTCGGCACTCGTCACCAGCAACTTGACACTTGGACATCACGAAATAGAAGTTTACAAAGTTTCATTTCGATTAATGTTCCCTTTCGTGAAACATCGAGACACGTGTATACACGAAAATGTCAGTTGCAGGATAGACAAAATAAAAGCGAACAAGTATAGCATGGACAACATGATGGTAGACCGGGATGCTTACCCGAGTATCGTAGTAGGCGGTATCACAGTGGTAGCAGGTGCGATCGCTGGAGCTGGTGCTGGAAAAACTGGCGGACCAGGTGGTGGTCTGCCTCCTCCCGCGGGGCTGTAAATTTCGTAATTAGCGTTAAATTACGGATCCCACGAATTATGAAAATATTTTTTTCTTAAACGAGGTACAGCTACGTCTATCGTAAATTGCTTTTTAAACTATCAACTTTTTCCACCACGAACAATCGAAAGTAATTGGGTTCACTCGAAAGTAAATATAGGGTAACAAACCACCCTTACACGCTTCAATCAAGCTTCGATCAACCGACAGTTTTTGATTTCCGAAAATTCGACAAACTCCGTGACGCACGACCGTAAATTTGTTCAGCAGAAATGATTCCGCTTAAACTAGGCTAACGAGAAAGAGAAACATGTGCAGTCCTATCCCGATTGAAGTTTAAATTCGGCTCCCGCTCGTTACACAACGTTTGCTCGCGTCCAGAAAAAGTAACGGTCGGGATTAGTCGTGCGATCGACTTCCAATTAAATCGTTTTAATGAATTTCCGGAGCGCGAGTTGTTGGAACTGCGTCAGCCTGCCCGAATGACTAAACCGCGGCCAGCTAAACCAAACACGCCTTGCTGACGAAATTTACGGCTGTCGCGGCACCAAAGCCGTTCGATCCGACTTCAATTAACGGCCACACGGAAAAAAATGTTACGAGCCCATTGAATCCGGATGATTTCGTCGACAAGTTTCGATTTCCTGTCGATCAAATGGTTTGCAAGCGATTAGGATGACAGGCCAGAGTTGTCGCGAGAGTTCAATTTGTCCAAAAATTGTTGCTAAAACGAATTTCCCAATTTCCGATAGAATCCAATATACTCGTGTTCGAAAAGTTTTGGACTGAAGAACCAAAAAGAGAAATTCTTACTGCAAGGGTTGCTGATGGCGGTTATTAGGTGGCGGTGCAGCCTGTGTCGTGGCTGCTGCAGGTGAGTTCGCGCTGCTGACACGATGCACGTGCAGCTGATGCATCTGCAGCTGGGCTGCGTCTTCGCCGAGAAACGAGCACCTCGAACATTGCCGCCTGTTGTGCACTTTTAGCACGTGCGTCGCGAGACGCTCGGCGCGTGCAGCTTTGTACTCGCAGAGGGTACACGCGAAGGGTTTCAAATGAGTGTTGAGGTGTCGTTTCAGGCACCAATTGTCTACGCCGCTCCAGGAACAGTAGCAGCAAGTATACCTGAAAATGGTCAACGCGTTAGTCGGGAATATATTAATTATGTAATGATGACGTCGTTATTTCGCCGATTGATAGAGTATTATCCCTCACCTTCGCTCCTGAGCTCCTTTAGAGCCACCCTTGAGGTGACTCTTGCTATTACACCCTCCGTTCTGCACCCTCCTTCCTGTAGTACAATTGGTCGCTTCCGGTTGCATGATGCTGGGCACAGGCATGGATGTCGCCTGATAGATTCCAGCTGCGCTAGCTGTGGTTCCGTTACCAGGATTCGGCTGCAATTGGTAACTCTTGTTATTGTTAAATCCAGACGAATAGTTGGTGTGCTGTTGTTGCTGCTGCTGCTGCTGCTGCGGTTGCTGTTGTTGTTGCTGCTGCTGTTGTTGTTGTTGCTGCTGCTGCTGCTGCTGACTATTAGCGTTCCCATTTCCAGTTATTCCTGCGTTTGGCTCCTGCTTGAGAGGCTTGGGTGCGCTGGATCCTGCGGGTCTGCGTATCCTGGACAGCTCGTAGCCATGCTCGCGATGCATCCTGAGAAAGTGTTTCTTCACGTGATCGGCGCGATTAAACGGCTTGTAGCAAATGTAACAGTGAAACGGCTTTTCCTCGCGGTGAATGTTCTCGTGGCGCGTGTACAGATCGCGACGATCGGTACCATAGGGGCAGTACGGACAGGTGTAACGTTTCACGCTAACGGACACGGTGGCCGACGTTGGTATTGTCGTCGTGTTCTATGAAGTTTAAAATATTAGTCAAATGTATAGCAAGCGAGGCTTGATCTTTAAATTATCGGCCAGTGGAAATAAAATTCCAATTTGTACCTGGTGCAGATGTTGCGGCGCAGGAGAGGACGGTAATTCCTGCAGCAGAAAGGTCGACGTGACCGGCAATAAAGCGGCGGGTACCGTTTGCGTTTCCTGCGTCCGTCTGGAGGGCGGTGCGACGCGCTCGGCGCGCTCACGTAACCTCTCCAGGTAGGAAATCACGTCCTCGATTTTCAAATCGGTCTGTAGGTAATCTTTGTGAGGCGAGTGCAGCCTGTTCCTACTGTCATCGGCGAGGATCCTCGAGGAATGAAGCTCCATAAAATGCTCGGCCACGTCGCGTGTTCCACCGCCCAACACGTCACCTATTCCACGACACCCAAAAGTCATTAGTTAAGGGCTAATGTATAGTATGTCGATGTATTCGCGTATTTAACAGGCAGCAATGAACCAATTTAGGTTGGAATACGTGCGAACGGTTTGTCGCCATTGAACATGGTTTTCCGACGTATTTTCTATTTACGATGCAAACAGGAATTTCGATGACACGAAGCGCTGGAAAATACCCGACGAAACGCCCCGCGCGGGACAATAAAACTGCCTTTTGTTCGAAAAGGATCCGCCCAGCTTGACGGGGCTACGTTTCGCCATTGTTTGCCTCTTCAATTCCGTATCAATATAGCCTCGGGACCTTTCTTGCCTACCGACCCGTTATTTTCCTATTTGTACTCGCTACCTCTACAGTCAACATCGTTATAATAATTACTCGAGTTTCGCTCGCGATTCGGGAGAAGCTCCAAGTAAAGCTTCGTCATAACTGGTCGCTTTGTCGCGAAAAGTAGCTCGAATTAATTCGATTCGCGATGAAAGGAAGGTCCATTCTTCGTCACGCTTTGTCGAGAATGAACGTAGAATTAACAAAAAAGTTAAATAAAAAAAAAAAAAAAAGAAGAAGTACTAACCGCATTCGTAACACCTCCACGTAGCTTTCCCAGGATGATAAGCCGCGATACGGCTACCATCGGTTCCTTTAAGCGGCTCCTCTTCGCACGTCCAGTTTCCATCGTCGCTCCCATCGGTTCCATTTCCGGTATCGTCGTCGTTCTTATACGATACGGATGTTTCGAACTCGTTCTGCACGCTGGATGCTACGGACAAACGAGTATATAGAGGAACGAAATTTAATTTCATTCTAAATGAATTAACGACTCACTTCTATGATCAGGATCTTCTCCGTACAGTTTCCTGGTTATTTCCTTGAACATATCCTCGTAGCAGTCCAGCCTGCTAATTCCCGTGCCGCTGCCTTCCATTTTTCAACTTCCCAACGGTCACCCAGTATCCTTGGAACAATGAGTACCTTCCCCGCTCGTCTACCTGCGCGCAAAGTTGTATCTGTAAGTCGGGTTACAACTAATAATCCCAGAATCCTCTCCCCCCTTTCGTTTTCCCATCGCTCTTCCGTTTCTGACCTTAAATTTACAGACCGCCCGTGCCGGTTCTCTCGCCCGTACATATTCTTTCTCGCTTGTTTTAAGAATCGAACCCTTTTTGCGACGTAATTGAAGCTGAATCGATGAAAGGGTCCACGTTAATTGGGTCATCGAACTTTAATTACATTTTTGCCAGGCAGTACACTTTCGCGATTCAACTTTTCTTCTCGGGTTAAGCTGTTCATTTGTACAAGTGGGGACATCAATCATGTCTGTTATTCGTTCTACAGACATAGTACCAGAGGTGTGTGAAATTTGGAAAGGAAGAGACTATCTATACCCACCTTCTAAATAGGATAGCTTTTTCGAAGTGAACTTCTTACAAGTTCTCGATATACTTTATTCCAATCTCTCCCACTTCATTGACTTTTCCACCCCCGTCGCCCCTCCGGTTCTTATCTTCTGTATATTCAGCTGTAGCGTAACGCGTCGAAACATCTTGCTCTCGCAATCAGTAGCGACGTTCCACTTCCACACCGATACACTCCAAGAATTGATTCACCGTAACAAGATCGGAAGTTGAACAAAATAAACTTCGTTTGGATGATAGGAGAGCACTCGAGGCGATGCAGTGTCCTTTTAAATGGAACCGCGGTAACGAAGAAGGAACGACGAACAATTACGAATGTTTCTCGAGGATCTCGAAGTTAAGACCACTTTGTAATTCATTCGAGCGTGAGCAGTCGCAGCTCGGCTTCCTGAAAAGACCGGAGGGGCGAAAAATCGGGGTTTGATTGTGTTAGAGATTGTGTTAAATATTCATGAGCGGGAAACGTTTTGCCTCTAGATCGCGGGACGATTTAGAGGCTCGCTGAAAAGAGTGATCGATTTCCCTTTGGAACTAGAACAACGAGCGAACCACCGTTTCCTCCAGAGGAGCATTTGCACGACAGACGTAGGAGTGGTGCTTCGTTCTCGCTTTTCCACGGAATATATTTCTTTTCGAGGAGACTGTGACCGGCCCCAATCCTTCCATACTCGACACCCCGTAAGAATAACTTCGTTACGTATATCCTTCGGAAACTAAAAACGGAAAATAAATATTCAAATAAACGCTCTCTGCATCCGCGCAAAAGTATCGAAAATAGGTCAACCGATTTTCCTAGCCCGCAGCGAAAGCGTTAATCGTTACCAGTTTCTATCTGTTTCGGACAATCCTGACAAAAAGCTACTCGGTTAACCAGTTAATTCGACCCCGGTGGGGGCGCATCGAGTCTCGATCCCCGCCCCCAGGAGTCGAACCGATTGATTTCGATCTCGGCGACGACGTCACACAGTTTTTTGGCGGGGTGCCGTCCGGAATGAGGAAGAAGGCTGCACGTATTGATCCGTGGGACGCCGCGCGAGTGGAAAACGTGAAGGGAGATGGCAACCCCAGCTTGACTGCACGTACCGTACGTACACCAGCGAGTTAGGGGTGAACAAGAGCGTGTTCTCTACGTGGAAGGGGTTAACGGCAACGAATAAATCAATATTACCCCTCTGCGAGGGTAGCGAGCGATCGAGGACGCGTCCTGCGGAGGCGACAGATGGCGGAGAGGGTGGCGACCTCAGCCATGTCGGTTTTCTACGTTGGTTGAGCACCCCTGTATCCGAAGAAAATTATAACTCAGAGGGGAGATGCGGGTCGGTAGAACAGAAAGAACAGTGGCGACTTTATGTGCGAGCAAACGATGCGACCAACCATTTCGACGACGATAGTTAAAAACTTTACGACGATAACGCCTGTAACGTTCCTCGTTACAGATACGCTAATAGTCATTTTTTCAAACTTACTTCTTGCGTGCACTATATCGAAAAGTTGACCAGCTTTACTTTATTTAACGCAGTTTGGGTTCGAAAACTGCGTACCGATAATTATCGGAAGATCCACGCTCTTCGAGCCACCCTCGCAGCCAACCCTTGTACGTAGTTCTCGTGGTGTTACGCACGAAGGAATGGATTCGCTGCGTATTTTTTATTACCATTTTGAAATAAAAATTTTGTTTTTTTTTAACTTATTCGAAATTCTTGACGGATCAAGGATGTTCGACGTCTACGGAATGAGGGCGTTTAGATCAAAAGTTGCATCGAGGGCCCTAGTACCTCTAGCTGCGGCCCTAAGGGAGGGACGTTAGCGGAACTCGAGGGAACGTTGAAGAGAAAAAGGAGAAAGCAACAAGGAGAGAGAGAGAGAGAGAGAGAGAGAGAGAGAGAGAGAGAGAGAGAGAATTCCAAATGCTATAAAACAGGAGTGGGGATCGAAAGGGGGAGAAGGAATAGTAGGGGAAGCCAGAGAAGCGCGCGCAGTCTGCCATTCAAATTCGTCCGGAAATTATTACCGACTAACCAAGGACGCTCGAAATGCGCACGCGCATTCGCGTGCACGTATATACGCCCACACACGAAGTATTCAGAAACGTTTCGCGCGAAGAGCAGAGTCGTGCACTCTCGGAAGACGGTTCGCGCTGGTTCGCGCTGACTCACGAGTATTCTCTACCATCAACGATCTCCTCGTCTACGGTTCTCTTCCAGTTTGGCGCGTCTCGAGGCACCTGGCCGCAGGCGATCTCGCGAAATCGCCCGACAACGAAGAGGAAGCATCGAAGCACGCACGCGAGGCATATTCGAGCACGAGTCTGTCGCAATCCACTCGCGCGCGGACCGTCGAGCTACACGCGACGCGAGAACGGATCGCTCGTATCGACTTTCCGTCCCACGAAAGCTAAACGAAGCTCTGGCAAAAGTGGTGAAGCGCGTCGACGAGGAGACGAGACTCGAGGGCTCGAGGGGCACCCGAAACGTACGCGACTCGAGCAGCCGTACCCTGGAGTCTCGTCCTCTCAACGGACATACTTGAAAAGATATCGGGCTCCGATCGAGCAGTGGTTAACCGAGTTTGCACAGCTGTCGCGTAGGTTCGATTTTGGTGAAAGGTCCTCAGGTAACGTCTTGCGCGAAGGAAAGTCGATGACGAGCCCTGTCGAAACGCGGACACTCGCGACAAGCACGCAACTTCATCGCAGGCGATGCACACGACACTGTTCCCTTGGTCTCGAGCGATTCGCGCACTGCGTCACTCTCACTCGCGGCGCGGGCCGAACGTTTTCCATCGATTCGGTTCTTATCCAGCGCGAGCGTGGACGACGTAGCACACTGGCCGAAACGCAAGAGAACACGGGACACGGGTGGTCCACGACGCCGCGGCCGACGGGAGAGATGACAGAGGCTGGCGACTATGGAAGACGAGGAGGAAAGAAAGGAAGACGTAGGAGACGAAGAGAGAGAGTCGCGGGGGCCGTGGTAGGAAAAATCGTGGGCGCGCGCTGAAAGATGGCTCGGAGACGCGCGGCGCACCGTGGACGGATCGCGCGATACGACGATGGGTATCTTTGGTTACTCACAGGTTCCGAGGACGGCGACGACCACCACCAGGCGATCCTTGGACCGGGGAAAATCCGTTGTTCGAGAAAACGTCGGTTGCTGGTTCGGTTGCAGGTTGTTTCCTCGACGGCAGTCGGGTGGCGAGTGGGTGGGCAGGCGGGGTGGCAGGCGGACAGAAATGGGTGGCGCGGGTGGGTTGGAAGCAGCGGCGTGTGGGTGGTGGGAGTGGGGTGAGGGAACCCAATACCACCCTCCTCGCCCATTCAATCCTGCAGTATTAGGGGGAGCAGTCGAGCCTGTTCCCGACCCTCCCTCCCTCCCACCCCTTGGGTTCCCTCCCTTCCTCCCTCTCTCCCGTCCGCCCTCCCTCCCTCCCTCCCGCCGTTCCTCTTCCTCTCTCTCTCTCCAACACATCCAGCGGGCAGGAACGTCTACGATGAGAACGACGCCGACGACGGACGTCTGCTGGGAGCGTGCGTGAGGCTATACGCGTGTGCGTCGATCCTGTCTTTCCTTCGTCACGCATACAACCACCCGCAGCTAAACCTCCCTGCACGTGTTCGCGACGTGGACTGTTCGAGGGGCTGGTTCGGTCCAAGGGGAGGGAGGAGAACTTACGGAGCCCATCGTGGTCCTCGAGGACGGGAACCATTTCCGAGCAAGGGTCTCCGCCGAACCTTTCTGGGTCTTCGCCCCCTTCTCCCCTTGTGTAAACGTATTTTTGGACGATGGTTGCTCGCCTCGAACGGGGGGTGACGAAAGTCGCGAGCGGAACGGGGATGCTCGAGTCTTCGAGAAAAACGTATCGATTCCGAAATCGATTTTAACTTCAATCTACGGAAGAGATCATTGTACGGGAATGTAATTACAGTTTTGTACAGTTTAAGATCGCGAGTTTAGGACTGCGCGAAAATGACTTTTTCTTCGTTTGTCGTAACGATTGACGATCGAAAAACCAAGGATGGTAGCTAGAAACAACCTATCCACGGTGAAATTGAAACGAAATTTGCGAAAGATAATATTTACAAAAGAATTAGTCACCGTCTAAGGGCTGTTTGACTCCAGGGAACGGAAGGATTGTTCGGAATGTTCTCTTCTTCCATGGTCGTCGTAGAAATTTCAGGCAGACCGAGGCAGCGCAAAGGTGTTTCCATGCGTCTGATCCAGCTGCAGGTAACTGCATTGCCAACTAGAAGAGATCGACGAGGTTCTCGCCGGCTTTCTCGTCGGCATTTTCGTTTCCCTGCCTTCCAAGCTTGACCTGGAAGGAACTAGATGCCAGCAGCTTCGATTCGAAACGATCGACGCAACTTTATCGTACAAGTCGTACTCGACAAGTTTAAACGAAGTAGGATGTCATCAAAGATATACTCTGTTTGCAATTAAATTGAAATAAAAGCTCTGTATACCTTCCCGAGCGCTTTTACGTTCGACGATGTAATCTAATAGTCTTCTCTGTTGCGACCCCCTTATCCTGACTTTCATCGCTTTAACCCTAGGTCAACGATTTTGTTGGAACTTTAATAAAGGGACGAGCATTCGATAATGGATAAATACAGCTCCAACGTTGAGAAGCTTCGCGTTTGAAATGCTTCGATGATTAAATGCTTGGCGATATCGTTCGCGTCGAACGCAGATATTTTGCACGTGTCCGCACAGGTACACGGTTCGCTATAAATAAACGAAAGGCAAGTATATCCTAAGGACAGTAAGGGCGGGCAGTGTTGCGTAAAAGATGACGCATCGTGACGTACGGGCGTGCGTAAACGTGCAGGAAAATTGTGGAACGCCTGTAAGTTTCTTGGGACGATAAAGAGCGCGTAAAATTGGGAGGATCGATCGAACGGTCTCGCGTATTAAGTACAAGGTGCGTTCAAGTAATTTAAAAGTATCTTGGCCTGATATCGAAAATCAATTTTTAACTTTTAATTTCGCGTACAGTCCTTGACAACTCGTCGAGTGTTCTTATAACATTCTATCGGAAAGGGAAGCGTTCTCGAGTGGAATAGGACGGAAGAATTTTTTAATTAATTTTCATAGAGCCTCTGAGAGGTACTTTGGGAGCTCTTCGTTTTGCACCAAACACGTTACGCGTTGGAAAGGTCAAGAGTAGTCGTAAAAGAAACGTTTTCAAGATTGCAATCCTACGAACGATAAGATTAAATAGCCTTATCGGTGTCGAAGCTCGTCGTCATCCTGCCTCCCACGTGGTACGCCTGATCGCTTATTATTCTCACGCAGATCGCGACGCGTGGTATTGCGCGTGAACCACGCGAGAAACGGCACCTGTTACCGCATACCGTACCATACCATTCGTCTCGAATAACGAGAACCCTGTTGACAGATTAAGATCGGAGCACTCGATTGAGCTTTTCGATTGAAATAAAAAATGATCTGGGTATGGTCTCGTCGACGGTCTCCGTCTCTTTCCCGCGTTCCAACGTCCGTGCATCTTCGTCTGTGTCGTTGTTGTACGGCGAGTGTTGATCGGCGGGTCGTTCGCACGCAGGATCGCGAAGCATGGCGGACAACAACGGTCGCGGTCGGCCGGGCTGCGCGAGCGTCGGCGTCGGCGTCGGCGTCGGCGGTACACGGCGGCGTTGGCGGCGCGGCGGGTAGGTTCGCGTCGCGGCGCCTCGCGTCAGCGTCGCTGGGACCGTCGACGGAGGCCAACAGTGGTGGCCAACGCATCGCGCGAGCCGCGTACATCCGCCATATTGGCCGCGAGAGCACGGCTCCTCCGCGAACATTTCACTCGACGGATCAGGGGGTTAGGAAACGAGGGCGTAGTGTCGCGTTAACCCCTCGCGAGGCGGGCAAAGGGGGTGGCAGGCAGGAGGTCGACATCGCTCCAAGACTAGCCGAGTTCGCCTCGAATCTGTTTTCTAAACAGCAAAGTGACAGAGGGTGACAGAAGGAACTAGGACAAGAAAGAGAGGACAGAGAAAAGAGGATCCAAGTGTACGACAGTGATTCAAAGGTGTCCAGTGGAAGAGAGACGAATCTTGATCTACGCTCTGAAAAAGACATTATCCGTTGGCAAAAAGAAGATGTAACAGATCCAGTGCATCGTTCACGATCTATCGTACGATCCTCCGAGCAGCCGGAAGATTCTCGAGATCGGTCCACGCTCTTCCACTCTAAAAAGATAAGGAGATCGAATAGATCAGGGTATCGTGGCATCTTGCTCTTTTAGAAAACTTTCCTGGCAGGAATCGTCGAGGTGTCGAGTAACCGGATTCGAGAAAGGTTCCCTCAGGAGTGTCCATTGGTGGTTTCCGTTAATTTTTCGGTGAGCCTCGAGCAGCTCGGTGTCCAAGCGTGACTCGTCTCTCCCTCTGGTCTCTGCCAATCAATAACCCAACAACGCACCGCCTCGCTCGCGCTCAACTCTCTGCCTCCCTGTGCCCCTCTCTCTCTCTCTCTCTGCTCTCGATCCGCCGCCGACGGATCGTCCAGATGCGTTGAGAGGTCGCGGAACGCGATGCTCACCCGTTTCCCGTTTCCGTCCGACTCGCAGCGCTCCTCTTTCCCCTGTTCCGGTCTGCTCGGTTCCGTGATTCCGTTTCGATCGTCCTGCCAAGGTCCGACAAACGAAGGAATCGACTCGGCTAAGGGAAAGAGGTTCCAGGAACGCTAACCTGTCGCGAAACACGCTCTCTAGGACCCTGACTTCGTTGAATGCTGTCGTACTCCAAGTATTCGAGCTGCCTTGCAGAGGCGGTAAGAGGTGGAAGAGTTCCCCTCGTCAGGCCGACTGGCGGGAGGTTTGCCAAGTCGATTCTTTCATTTGCCGTACCTTAGGAATCCCTCCTCCCGCCGCGGATCAGCGACGGTAGCAACGTCGCGACGTCCGCGCCGACGGCGAGCCAGAGGCGGCGGTAGCGGCGCTCCAACAGGCCGCGCCAGCGCCCTGCGGCGGTTTCAATCGCACACGAACCTATTTATACGACGTCGAGCATCGCCGAGGACGACGCAGCGAGAGCAGCGCCGGTGGTGGGCCGCCCACGCCGAGCAACAAGCCCCGAGGGAAGCGAGCGTCGTCGACGGGGGAATCAGAAGAGACACCCCGCGCGACAGATTCGCTGGCCCTGGTCGATGGACACCAGGAGCCAGACGTCCCGATGGGACCCATTTCGGGATGCGGCCACCCGTAGGGGACGCCATTAAGAGGCTAGTCGTTTCGTCGTCTCGTCCTCCGAGCCGGGTGCTGATCGAACCTCGCGTATTTGCTTCACGTTCGATTCGAGAGGATTCGCGCGCGGACCGAGACTCTCGCGGCTCTCGAGTAGGTGGATGGGGGTCCGCTGGGTGTTGCCGAACGCGACTTGGTGAATCGTGAAAGGCCATCGGCGCGAAAGCTCGCGGAGCTCGCGGAGCTTTCGGGCCTGGACGAACCGGGAGGCGGGAAATGGTTGGCGGCGTATGATGCGCGAGACGGATCGTCTGGCTGGACCTCGACGCGCCGATTCGAGCTGCTCGACCAACAAGACAAACACCAAGACGAAGACGTGGAAGTCCTCGTAGCCTGGGTATCAACGCGAGTGGGTGCGCGGTGCGCGTATGTGTCCGTCCGTGAGTGCGCCAAGAGTTCGAGTACCGAGGTGCTGGAAGCATGCAGCCACGTTTGGGCGAGGCCCGCAGAGGCCTTAGTCCCGTTGAAGGAGCGGGATAAGGAGTTACCGGAAGGGAGGATCCACGGGGTGGACACTGCTCGCGGGTGACCAGGCGGTCCCGCGATTCGCGGACCCGTTCGCGAGAGCTGAGATCGCAGGGAACGCGGGAAGCGAGCTGGACTCGCTTTCAGGCGCATGGAACATGATAGAGGTGAGGCGTATGCGATTATCGATCGAGAGACCCACCGAGAGTCCGTCGGCTGAGAGACTCGCGGGAGATGCCCTGGCCGCGGCTGCGAGTTCCCACTTGCCACTTGCCGCGAGACACCGATGCTTTCGCAAAGGAACCACTCGACCTGTTCCCCTTCTGATTTTAACCTACATTCGCACCAGAATTACTCCTTACTCCAATTAATCTTTATCCGAATAGAATCGCCACTCGAATTTAACGCTTTCTCGTAAGATTTTAGCGCCCCAAAGTATTCCTTGCAACGTGTTAAACTAAATATAAAATAAGAATTTTACCTAGCTCTGTGTATAAAAATTCCTTGACACCACCGAATATCGTATGCGCGGAGCCGACCGAAGACGAACTCAACAGCTGGAAGGCATCGGTGAACCGTGAATTCGGGTTGGCTACTAACTAGTCAGAGCCTGTTGATCCAACCAGGATTTATATTCGGCCACGGACGGAAACGCTGCATCTGACACACGCCGACACTATGAAACGTTTCGCGAGCTACTCGAGCGTGGCGGCGGCGCGGCGGTGTTTCCAAAAAATTACAAATAGCTCTCGGTAAAATAACAATCTCGAATAGTGTAATTTATATTTAAAAACAAACACGCGAGTGATCGAAATCAAATTAATCTCGCGTCGACTCGTAAGCCAGGGTAAACAGAGAACGACTGACACGATACGCCAAGTATGCTTCGACAAATTTAACAAGACACAATCCTCATGCCGTGCACGTGCTTTTCAATCGAGCAACGCGACGACAGGGTCGATCCACCGACGCGTTCGAGTCGATAACGAGCAGCGTCGCCACGCGTCGAGGGATTTTCGAACGTTGAAAGTTTAACGACGGCTAAACCGCGGCACGGGCATCAACAAGTGTTCGAGGCGCGTTGCATAATTAGAATGAGTGGCATGACTCTACACACGCGTCGATATACAGGGTGTCAACGCTCGAAAAAGTGACAACACTTTGTAGAAAGATAGATACGCGCAAGATAGATACGCGTACAAGTCCGAATGAAAATTTGTTCGAAACAGCCTGTAACACTAGTGACGTCGCGGTATGAGTCACGAAGACAATAATTCCGAGTTGAAAATATTTTTATATCCCCTCCTCTTTTCTCGGAGAATGTAAACACTGTGTGCGAATGCACTTTTTGGCAGCCTTCCAACGATTGGGTGATTCAGTTCCCCGAGATCTGTTACGCTTCCCGTATCGTGTGAACCGCGCGTAAATATTATTTTGTTAAATGCAGTTTCTCTTCCCCTACTCTTTCTTTCAGCTACGATCGCGGTAAATATTGGAAACTCTACGGGACGCGAATCTAATAACACCATCGATACCTAGAAAATGTTAAATATCGGTCGATTCACGTTATTTACTTAGCGGAACTGCTTTACTATATTTCACAATTTATCCAATATTAATATCCAATGACATCGCTTCGAACGTCGACGTCGCGTCTTTTTACCGTCAGACACGATTTTCTATCTGTACGCGTACACGTGGATTCCCGCGAAAGTCTGTTGTTTATCAATCGCTGCCCACAGCCCGTATTAGCAACTGTGGAGCGTGGTCGTTATCGTGCGAAGCCGTTCGTGGAGCAGATCATCGATGTACACCGTGGCGTAAAAATAAAGCGGCCGTCAAGAGAGAGAAGGAGAGGCTGTGCATGGGTCCAGCTTTGTTCATCGGAGCCTCGATCCACGATGTTCCTTTGCTAGGTATTTCCTACGGTCGGATAATCGCACAACCGATGCGAACTATCGGTTAAGATTAGTTGTGTACTTTTGGTAGCCTCTTGGTAGGTTAACGGGTACCGCTGGACACTCTTGAATTCAACGTACGCAAACTCTTGTAACATTCTGGTACACGCGCGGGTATCTAGCTTATTTTCAATATCGCATCGTGACGGTAGCAACTATAATTACGAATAAATATTCTCGCGATCTCTATCGAAGCAATATCGGCGCGAGATTGGTAGCTCGCGTTAATCGATGTCGGTTTGAATTTTTGTTTATTCCAAACGAAATAATTCGTCCCTGAAGAGAGATATTCTTAGAGTTTGGAGTACTCTAGGATATCGTTGAAGCTAGGATGGCGTAGAATCGGTAGATAGGTAGTAAAGTTAGCTTGAAATGAAAACGAGTAAAAAGGAAAGCTTGATGTCGCGCGGGATCATTTTTCATTTTCCTTTGTCTATTAAAAACATGGTCCGCTTTGTGAACACGCGAACAGTAAATCTCTTTGGCGAGTCTTGCATTCAACTATCGTTGTTTCCGCGTTAACTTTGAAAATCCGAGTGGATCGATAGATGCAGCTGAACGTGACGACAATGGTATCCAAACTAATTGGCAGCCTTTTGAAACTTTATATGTCAATTATCGTACGGTCAGCTTGTTTCAATTAAAGCTTAACGACTGTGTCGTGGTTCCGCGTGTGAATCCGACTGTGATGTTTTTCAGATGCTGGAATAAAAAAAAATATAAGAATTAATCCAGTTTGCAGGATAAACCAGTTCGCGTTCCAATTTTAGCGAAAACTCCATTTCGACTCTGCGCGAAAATTAGAGGATTCGAGTCGACGAATCGGGATAAAATAAATATCGGAAAGTTACATCGATGGATTTTCGTAAATCTAATCAATTTTCTATCGCTCTACTTGCCATTCAGACGGTATGCGCCCTGTCGAGATGCGACAATTGCCCAGCTACCTTCGGTCGCCCTTCGAACAACAACAATCCTCTCTTCGTCAGAATTTCACCAGCTTCGATCATCTCGTTGCGAAGATCGTGTCGTTTTCCAATGAAATCGTTGGGACGGAACTTTGCTAGAAGATAAATCTCACTTGGAACCCCTCCAGAAGACAATAGCCACTCGGTACCCCTATAGAGAACAGCTTTCACACGCAATCTCAACGCTACCGCTTCAACGAGACTTAAGACTTTGCTTCAATTCAGATCCGTGTATACCAACCTACTTATTGTATCCTCGCAAAAACAACCCTTGTAACTTTGTCACCGTTACACTTGGATTCGCTACAGTCTGACCTGTTTCGGTCATTCCATCGGTGATATCATGTTTCCGAGTTATATTTTAGTGTCGACTTGAAAAGACGATTAACGTTAACGTTTCCAGTCGCATTCTCTCGATCGAGTCCCTCCAGAGGACGAATGTCCGATCGCGACACGAAAATCTCAGCCGCCGCACCGGAAAGGTTAAGGTCAAGGGTGGAGCACAGTGACTCGGTGCACTTATTTTTAGCGGACAGTCGGCAGTTTCCCGTGTGCAGGGTGGGACCGACTCACCAAACGAGATATCGTTTGCAGATGTCGAGCGGAATCGGTGCAACTGCAATGGGGATCGGCGTTAGTCACGGGGCAGGCGGCGGCGAGGGTGTGGCCGGTGGTTGCCGGTTACGCGCTCAAAGCCAAGGTCAGGCCTCCGGGTCCTCGGCGCAGCACAGCAATCCGCAACAGACCGCGCAGCAGCAGCAACAGCAGCAACAACAGTTGCAACAGCAGCAGCAGCAACAGCAGCAACAGCAGCAGCAACCCCCGTCGTCGCAGCAGCAGCCGCAGCAACAGCAACGCCAGGGCTCCGGGATCATGGGCCGCTCGAAGAAGGACAACTGTTGCCTGTGCTGGTGTTGGTGCTGTAGTTGCTCGTGGTATTACCGTTTCTCTCTATTTTCTACCAGAGTCGGACAGAATAGAATCCATTTCATTTCATTGTTTGGTACGTTTTGTACCCGGACGATGTCCTCCTCTGGTCTTTATCCACGCGATTAGTTTTAAATCGTTTGATTTCATTGCGCGACGATCGGTTATCAGAGGCGTCGAAGCGGATCTTTTTGCACGCGTAAGCTTTCTCTTTTCGCTTTACATTCGATCGATACTCGGAATCGTCTCGCGATAACTCGCATATCCTGCCGCGTGACAAGCCATTATCGCCGTGTTTCGCAATAGAATCATTCGTGGAACGATGTCAGTCCATTGTCTTTAAATGGAGCTACAACCTATTTACTCGTCGAGCAGCCGTACCCACGTTCACTCTTTTCTCTGTTTCATGCCGCACGCAGGAATAAATGGTAAGCAAAGCAGGCCACGAGACTGGACTCGTCAAGGAGTTGATCGAGCCCGGTATTTTAAATCTCTCTATTCTTACGTTCGAACGAAACGAGTATACGTTACCATTTGTCGATTGCACAGTTTCTCATTCGTTGTTCGGTCGATCGAATCGATTAATTGCTTTTTAAATAAGGTTAAACATTCGACAGTTGAATGTTCTCGTTGAGAAAGATTTCCAAGCCTGCGATAGCCGACCTTGGGTCGATGAAATGCGCGCTGACGAACTCGTCGGTCGAAAAACCCTCCGGATGCGGGACACGTGTCCTCCCACGACGGAAATCTGCACCCCGAACGGAGAGAGAGCGGCCCTCGGCTTGGGTCTATCTGCTTATTTATCCCCGTTTTCCTTGGCTGTTCCGGCGTTATCGGGCAGGTCGAGTGTTTGCAGAACGAAACGAGGAAGTTTCCGGAAATAATGGACGTCGCGTCGTAGCAGACGGGAAACGCGGACGACGAGGAGAAAAGCGGCTCTTTATTTTCGCCTGGTTTCCGTGCCGAGCGAACGTGTTTCAGTTTATCGGCCAGCGCATTCTAACGTGTCTCTCCTCCGACAACGCGTCAAACGGGGGGTTGCTCTTTGTTCGTTTTTTCTTTCTTCGCGTGGACGAGTGTACGTGTCTGTTTTTTCTACGTTTTCGCATCTCGTAACACCGTGTACGCCTCGCCTTGCAATAACGCGTTTCGGAGTCCGGTAGTATGCAGATAGTACTTGGAATTAGTAGTGGCATTGACCGGTCGACGATTCCATACGAAATCCTTCCAAAGTACCAGCCCGCCGGTAATCTACCTTGACGAGTAAGAAAAAAACGACGCGTAATGAAATAATGTATCCACAGTTTGGCGGCGGTGGGCGGCAACTCGACGGGTACAGGTGGCGCGGGTGACCAGGGAAAGAAGAAGGGCAACGCGAGCGTCAGCGGGGATCACGGGAGCGGCATCGGAGTCGGCGGTGATCTTGTCGGTGCGGGGAACGGTGCCGACGGAAACATGGAATGCACCTTGGAGGAGGTCAGGTCTTGGGGCTCGTCTTTCGACAAGCTGATGAGGAGCCCCGCGGGCCGCGAACACTTCAGGGAGTTCCTCGTCAGCGAGTACAGCGAGGAGAACATTGCATTCTGGCTGGCGTGCGAGCAGCTGAAGCGCGACACTAATCCGGAAAGGATCGAAGAAATGGCGCGCTTCATCTACGACGAGTACATATCCATACTCTCGTCGAAGGAAGTGAGTACTGCTCCCTGTTGGACCTACCTTGCTTAACCGTAAATAACATTTTTCTGTTGTCGAGGGTGGTGGTTGGTCGTGTAGTCTGTTGTCCTTTCGTGCTCAGGATACCGCGAAAAGTCCAACATCCTGTAAAAATAAGCGGTCGTTATCGTTGCAGTCGCCTCGTTATCGCGGCTTAAACAACCGAGCAGCGTCGAGCTGCTAGGATTTTTTCGTGTTAGAATAGGTTCCCACGCGTGCGATAGGGAACACGATTCCAAGATTTCAAGAAAGTACCTGTAGTCGGAACAAGCTCGATTGATCGTTCAAGGCCGCTTATCTAGCCGTGAATCGCTTCGGTCACGACCCCTACTATTACCTTACGCTTGCCTCTTTCATTGAGAAACAGAGAGAACACGTGCTCGTAGGGTCGCGTGAAGATATGCCAGACAGAGTAACAAGATAGCACGGAGGCATGGTGGGGATAAGCCTTGGATGGCCTTGACCGAGCAATTGATTGAATCACGACTGCAGAGGGGGACGGTACCGATAATACATGGCTTATGGGCTAGACGCTACCTAGGTCTGAACTCTCGCATTGTTTACGGTGTATCGCGAGAAGCTAGAAAGAATACTCTCGAGAGATATTTGTTAATCACCTGTGGCTGATTTCAGGTGAGCTTGGACTCGCGAGTACGCGAAATAGTGAATCGCAACATGATGCACCCAACCCCGCATACCTTCGACGAGGCCCAGCTGCAGATTTACACCCTGATGCACCGCGACTCGTATCCCCGTTTCGTGAACAGCGATATTTACCGACGGGTGGCTAGACTCGGCAGCGGACCCCCCAGTCCGACCAGCGACGAGCACGGTACGGGCAAATCAAAGGGTAAGAAGGGAACGACGTAATCGCACCGACGACGAAACGGGGTGGCAGCGGACCAACACACCCTCCGTCTGTTCAGCGGAAAAAGAAGCGAGGCCCGCGATACGCTGTCAACGCTGGCCGATGACGGGACCCAGAAGCCATCGGCGACCGGAGAATTCAGCCTCGGGTGTCGAAACGCCCGTGCCTCTCCCTTGACCATCTACAACGGATAATCTCGCGATGGGATCTCTCGACGTTGATGGATCTCGTTGAAATTTCTCGAAGCGGCTCGCTTTTCCGCGCGTCACCATATTGGGGCCACGTAACCGCGCTCGCCGTCAGGCAGCGCACGAACTCGACGACGACGGACCGAACAAACAAGAAAACGTCGCGAATCGCTAGAGAAACTGAACGAAGAAACGTACAACAAAGAGAAAGATGAAAGAAAAAGAAACCAAAGTAACGATACGTAAGCGGTCCGATCGCGTGGATCATTACCGACTCTTCCTTCCAGGACACTCTTCGGTACGCTCGTTTACGCGACACGGTGAACCGAGGATAGGGTATAAACGCGGAAAACGGTCGGGAATGACGTTCATCTTTCGAGCAAGTTCCTAAAATGTTCATCGTCCGAAGGTGTACCGCGACTGATCGTCGCCAATGATCTCTCTCTCTCTCTCTCTCTCTCTCTTTCTCCTTGCTCGACACGAAAGCTGCGTCTGCTCTCTCCTGCTCGACACTTCTCTCTCATTCTCTGTTACTGTTTTGCTTTCTATCCCTCCGCTTCACGTCTTCCCCTCTACTCGCACTCTTTTACTATATCCCTTTCATCGCACGCGTTCGAGAAGATCTCTTGCACGAATTCGATCGAGAATTACACCGAACGAAATTTTAAACGATTCCCGAGCCCATAGTCGAATTACGTATCGTTTGGTCGATGTCGAGCAATCCTTTTATTCCTAATGTACAGGGTGTCCGTGACTCTCAACCTCCTAGAATATTACAGGGTATCCCCGAAACGGACCATCTACTTATCTTCTCTAGATGTGACGTGGAACCTCTTCGATCTCGATTATTTCACAAATGTCAGGACCAAAACGTTCCGAATAAATGTATGTAACGCAAAGAGATTGCTCGAATCGATCGAGGAATTTCGGTTGCACGTATCGCTTCTTTCGATCGAACGAATTCTGTTTGCGACAAAAGATATTGTACGCGACGAGTCGAGGAAAGAATTAAGGGCACCGCGTGGTTTGAGAAAAGCAAATACCGTGAGAATACTATGACTGCGCGTCAACTACAACCATCGCGAAACGTACCTCATTATTGCTACTTCGCAAACGAGACTCCTGCAAACGAAAAAACTCTTTGCCCGATGTTTTCGTACCGATAAAGTCGTACGTCAACCAAGAAAGTCGACCAAGTCAACTTGGTACTTTCGACAATGGTACTTTCTTCGGGAAGAGAGTTTCAGTTTCACCTGGTCTTATTTGTCACACCGTGGCGAGCAGGTACAGTGACTTATGAGCCCGAAGAGGTAACTTGTTCGTTTGGTCACAATTTCGATTACATGTAACGGGACCATAAGAAGGGAGAAGCGATTCATTAGCGCACGAAGGGGTGTCTCGTTCGCCAAGTACTCCTCGTTGGAATCGAGTTCGCGAGAAAGCGAGTCTTTCTCTTTCTAGAAAGAATAGCGTGGTTCGATTCTGGAACGGTGGCATGACTTTAACGCCGCTCCGGCGATATATATTTCGCGACATTGTCGGGCAAAAACGGACACCGAATCTGAATCTTGCTATTGCTATTTTTACTATTGATCATTTTTCACCAAAGGGAACGAGCCACGTTTATTTTCTTCCCTTAAGAAACACGCGAGTATTTAAACGAGGATTCGTGGTCCGTGCGATCTCGATGTATATACGAAATTTAGTATGCGACTGTTCCAAAGTCGATCCGAGTTATCAAGCAAAGAAGGAATCGTCCCGAATGCGTCAAGTATCGTTGACATTTAAACTTTCTCCCATATAATTTTCGTCATTCGCAAAAAATACAGGCCGCAATCGCGACGCGTTCGATGTACCAAGGAAACCGTCATCCCTGATGATTCGGATGGGCGAAATTTTCATCTAGATATACAAATATTTCGCGTAACAAACAACAGATAGATCACCGTTTAATCGATAATCGTTGAATCGAAATAAAAATGATAATCGTAGAATGAAACATTTCAACGAATAACGACTAAACGAACGGAATTCTGCTCATCTGTGGTCGAAGGCCGTACACGGCGAGTTACTGCCAGCGAGACACACCAAAGAATCAAACGCGCCTCGAATCCGACTACATACTTCGACGACCAAGAAAACGAAGATGCCGACGGAAACGGGCAAACACTCATAGCGTGTTACGATCTAGTCGGTACCGCTCCAAGACGGCAGCGTAGATGAAAGGAAAAGGCCTAAAGCAGAGAGACACTCGGAGCGCGAGTTCGGGACACCCAAATTCGATCGGTCGCCATTTTCTCCACATCGTATCCCGAGGATAAAACCACAGTCACGTGACCAGGGCTTTCCTCGAACCGCACAATTTTGATATTTACCAAAGAAACGAACGATGAAAGTTGACGGATAATCGAATATTAGAAATTATACTCGACCCAACGATGGCTGTTAAATACAGGGTGTTTAAAGAAATCATTCAGGACTTGGAGAACCTATAGTACTCAACGAACCGAGTAAAGAACTTTTAGTCAACGTAGATAGAAAAATGGATTCTGATCGAATAAGCAGCAATTTTTAAAGAAAGGGAAGACGATATTTCCAAGTTTCCTCCAACTACACGATTACCATTTACCAAAGAGACGACGAATTCTTTCGTCAAGTATCAACAAATTATCAACAAACCGTTGCAATTGTTTATTTCTGCGGCAGTATTTTCTATATGGCTTGTAACCACGTTCTACGTTCCTCGAGCTTTTCAACGACTACACTTACACCGAATAGGGCTTGAAATTCGTCCCTGGCCACGTGACCACGCACAAAATCGCTCGAAACTCGTCGATCACCGACGCTTAGAAGCAAAGATTCGACCGATTTCGCGTACAAAGATGGGAAAAACTTTGATCCGGATAGAAATGTCGAATAACGAAAGATGAAACACTATTGATTCGTTATTTTGTTCGAGAATACGTTTGTCCGCCTCTTTCTCGCGAGATCGATCGACAAAGCAAGCAGAAATCGTCCCGCGAGCCGATCGCACAAGCGGAAAACCAAATCGCACAGTCAGTCACAGCGTTTGGATACTGCCCTGTAGATAATATTATAGATAGTTACACGACGACGATGGCGGATAAAAGCTAATTATACATGCAAATATATAAATATATACATATATATATATAAATATAAAAGGAAGCAAGGAAAACAAAAAGTATATATATATATATATTATAAGTATATATGAAAAAAAATCACGTACGTTCAGCATAAGGGTGGCAGGGTGCGAATTACGGACTTGGGAGAGACAGAAGGAAAGGGCGGGAGAGAGTGGGAAGGAGCGAGCGAAACGGTGAGAAAGAAGAGAGATCGAACAATTTTTCATTCGTTGATCCCACGTTCCATGCGAGGAGACTTGGTTCGCGATCGAATTTCTCGCGGCGAACACGAGACAACGTCCCATGCTTCCCGCACCCCTTTCGTCGCTTTTCACCCCAATTCTAAAGGTCCGTTCGTTTCTTCTACGGTCGAACAAGTCTTGTTCGTTACGTGCGACTAGTCGAATAATCTTGTCTTCTGACGAGAATGGGGTTCACCGCTTCGACCGACTGAATATTTCATTAAATTCGAAATATTATTTTCCTACGTTTCATTTATTCGTTCGAGAGAATCAAAGAGTCACCGACACGAGTCGATGCAGCTCGTCGTTGTACAGAATATCGAAAATTAATTCACGTCGATTAGCCTCGAAGCTCGTTCGTTAACGTTCAACGAAAATTAATTTCGCAATTACAGAATTTCATTGTCCAACGTCGACTCGTCGACACGGTTGCCCAGCGGACGAGGCTAACGAGTACGAATTATTTTTCATTTTCGCCGAGCATCGCGTTGACAAAAGTTCTTAGTAAACTCGTGGTGATTCTTCGTCGAAGCACCCCTTGAAAACGGAGGAAAGGAACGATAGGGTGTGGTGCATGGTGCACACAGCGATGGGCAGAGAAACGAAACGCTGGCGTAAGTGAAGGGTGAAATTGGTCGAGCGTCATCTTCACTAATAAACGCACAATTTTTCTGAATCTCCGACATCCTCTGCTTCTTTCTTCCAGGCATCCCCCTTTTATAATCGTCGTTTTACCCAACGGCACACGCGTTTTTGTATCTCCCGAACGACAATATTTGTACGACACACCGCGGACTCAACCCTTTACGCCGCGAGCGATTTTTCGAACGCGGAATTCGTTCGCCGAGTTTTGACGAACGCGTCGCCCAAAAACTCGGACCTCCTTCCCTGTTTTAAGTTCACGCTCTGCGGAATGGGACGATATGCAATAAGAGAAGGATGGAATGTGAGGGTTAATAAAGTGGTGAAAACGATATTACTTGGTGTTCAACTGCTGCCTCTGACGCGGAATCCACTTACTTAGATACTCGTCAAACTCATACGCTACTAATGCATGCAGATAACTATCGCTATTGTTTTTTCGTTCGCCGACCACCATTGTATTTATCCTGTAATCGGTTATACCCTCTGCAATTCCTTCTTCATCGCGTCCATTCATTCGTTATTCCTTCCATAGTTGGCGCGAATGCCAATCACCGTAACTCGCGCAATCTCCTTAAACGCGCCATCCCCGCCTTCTGGCCATTTAGGGACAAACCTCGCCGAATGCAGAGCTCGTTCAACGATCTGTCTCGCGTAAACGCCATTGTCGAGCATCTTCTTGCGAGTCCCACTAGCCAGAAACGCGCGTTATCGCGAAAAAATGTCACGCGACGGCTTCGCGAAGCCCTGTTGCTCTTTCTTCGTCGCTGTTTCGATGCAGGAATGCGTTTTACCTCTGGGACCATCGGGCTCGTCGACTCTGCGCCGGCTCAATGGACTTTTCCCGACACTCCGGAAACGATCTCGAGGGTGCAAATGTGTTTTTACTTGTAGGACAATAAAAAAAGTATCGTAGTCAAGGGTAAGTATAAAAAACAAAAGATTCTCGAGGATTGATATCATTCAAATACGAATTTTACGCATCGACCGTAAAATAGTTGTTAAACTCCTCGACGCTTTTACTTGATATTCCATTTATAGGACGAGAATGCAAGATAACATTTCGGTAGCGATATACTACTAAAGAATTTCTACAAAGTAACCCAATCGATACACAAAGTTGTTACATTAATTTACTAGCGACCACTGGATACCTCAAATAAATTAACGTTCACCATCACCAGTAATTACGCTAAAGTAGTTCGTCAAATATCAACGCTGTCGTATAACAATAATATACTGTATTACTAGAAAAGTTACAAATTTATTATTCGACGTAAATATAACATAACGCTATGTATAACGTAAATATACGTAAATTGTACGTAAACATGATGATAAGTTGACGATAATATGTGAAATTTATCATTTCAGAAATAAAATGTAAATTAATACCAACATTCAAGAATCATTTTTAGTATGATTTTGTTTGCTATTAGACAGTTATCAATGATTTTTAGTGATTATTTATTAATAATAAAAATAGTAGTATCTACAGCGCCATCGGTGGCGAAACGTCCAAGTTTGTAGCGAAAATAGTTCCAGCCGGTTCTGTTAGATGGCGCCACTGA